TCACTGCTTGGCCCTTCCCCCACTCTCGGGGGGGGGGGGGCGCTCCCGGTCAGGCTGAACGCTCTTGGCTTGGCATGCTAAGTCTGGGGCAGGAGCCAATGCTTAGCCCCAGTGCTAGAGGAGATCAGACTTCTATTGGCAGGAATCTTGCAACTCTAGTGAGTTAGTGGCAAACTGTCTTGAGCCCATTGGCCCTTCGGACGTATTGTTTGATTGCTTTCCCAGCTCCAGCTTGGCTTCTCTCTCCCATTACAAGTCAGATTGGTTCGTGGATTTTTAGAACAAGTGGCAGCATGGCTTGAGAGTCTCTGTCCGATTGGCGTTACTCTGTGGTCTGATGCACTTAACCGCTTTATTGAAATGCATAATGGGGCAGGGGGGAGAGGAAATGGTTGTGGAGACCATCCCTAGGCCTGGAAAACCTCAAGGTGAAACTTTTCTCCGCACAAAGGGAGGTGCAGCCCTGTGTGTGTTGTTCCACCCTCTGCGAGGTTAGCATGCAAACTCTGGCTGATAGCAGCCCCAGAAAGCCATGTGAAACAACCTGTTTAGCTGTTTCTCTTTGGGTGTGGTGGGTTTAGAGCCCAGTGGACTCACAATGGTGCCTATAGTTCTCTGAAAATGGTTGTGTGAGTCAGACGTAGACTAAAATAGCAATTCTGGTTTGCTTTGTGTATCTAGTCTGTTTACATTCTTTGCAACCATGACATTGTCCCTACCTGACTCCGGACCTGACTTAGAGAGGTGTGTTTGGAGCACATGACAAAGAGCCAGAGTTCAACTCCCATTGCTGCCCCGTAGCCCCAGGCAAGTCTTAGCCACTGGCTGCTTTTCCCTACCAAGTGGGGGGTTGTGTGAGTTAATTAACATGCGTGCGTAAGTAACTGTGTAACCCATGTGCTTGCCTCACTCGCAAGTTCACTGCAAGGTGATGGTTGCGTTGGCGTTTCCATTACAAACACTGTTCTGTGTGGTGCCAAAACCCTGGACGTGGGAGTGACCTTTGCACATTTGTCATTCCAGTGATCTTGGGAGTAACTCATCCCTTTATACAAAGCCCTGCACAACCGGGTAGGCATCTTGATCAGGGCCTTTGGATGTTAGCAGGGTATAAGCCATAAATCCTCCTCCTGAAATTCACCAAACTCTCAGCAGCGAAAGATGTTGTGCTCTCGTCCTGGATTAGTATGATGTTGCAGATTCTAATCCATGTCATAGACCCTTTTAAATACTTAAATTTGAATTTCCGTGAGGTTTTATTCACGGATTTTAACCCCTTCCTTGCTGCCGGGCCCTGTTTATCTTTGCAGCAGCTTTAAGATAAAATGACTTGGGTGGTGGCTTTTATAGACTTGTGTAGCTCAAGGTGAGCACTCTGAGCACGCCAATACATCCTGCAGTCTGGGAGAGGCTAACTGAGGTTTAGAAGTGCATTTTATCTGCTGCTAGTATCCCTGTGGCCATCCTGGAGGAAGCCTGGATTGGGGAGCTGCTGGGAATGGCTTGCATTCTGGTATAATAAATCTCTAGTATGTTGCCCGGGTCTGTGGTGCTGCTGCCATTGGGTGGGGAGAGCTACTCGTTTGTGCCACGTGTCCGGATTTTTTTTTATTTTTGAAGTGGGATTGGTTTCACCTCTGGTTGCCAGTGCTCGGAGGGCATTGTCTTGCAAGGGGCAAAGGGAGTTTGTAGAAAGAAAGCTGTAAACCAAGATTTAAAATCTTTGCCAGGAGGAGTCTCTAGGGTCGGGTTTAAAGTGTGTGTCTTGAGGGGTGGGGGGAAGGAAGGGGGTGTTACCTCTCCCTCTAATGCTTGGGATGGGCCCTTTCATCTTTTTCTGAATTAGACTGCAAACTTCTTGGAGCAGAGATGGCTCTCACTGGTTCTTTAAAGGGCTGGGCCCAGATGGTGCTTGACTGAATGTTTGTACACCCTCTTTATGAGAACCTCCACCCTTGCACAATGCAGTGAGAGGCGTGGTGTAAGCCAGACAGACCCAAGTTCCACTCGTGAGTCTGCCGTGAACAGTTCCTCCTGTGATGGTGGGTATATCACTTAACCTGCCTGGCTCCCTGTGAAATGGAGGTGGTGGTGTGAGAATTCGTGTCAGCAGAGTGCTTAGAAGATAAAAATGCATGTATTGATGCATTGTCCATGGAAGAAATCACAGCTGAGTTATAACATTACATCATTTTTCTTGTCCTCAATATAGAGAGAACCATGCGCTTCCCACCATTTAACTTTCACCTATCAACCGGAGAGCAATTTCCTGTAGGTTTTGTAGTGTTAACCTTTTGCCCAGACCTTCCCTTTCATGCATGAAACTATTCATTGCTGAGATTTGTGATGGTAACAGCTGGCTGTGAGAGCATTAAGGCTGAATAGCTTCTTCTTGAACTTTTTACACGGCTCTGCAAGGAGCCTTGTGGTGAGCCTCTGCTGGCTCATTGGCTAGAACAGCCCACATGATCCTTACATCGGCTTTTGGAGAAACTACCTGTGGAGAAGAGTGTGGGTTGAGATCACTCAGAACCAGGTTCTAGACAAGCTTGCTCTCCCCGAAACGCCAGAGTAGCCAGAATCCTGTGAAGTTTCAAATGGGGGAAATCCAAACTGCGCTTCCTCTCTCGCCCACTCCCCCAGTCCAGGTCAGCTGTCCCCCGTGGCTTTGCTTAATGCCTGTGGGTGCACTGGCATTGGATGCATGCTTTACCAACTTCCAAAGGTGCAGTTATAACCCTACCCTATCAAGCCATGAGTAGATAAGATTGTTACCCACCAGCTACTTGGTAATAACATAAGGGATTGGCGCTCAGTGGTAATTTTTTTTTAAATGTTGGGAAAAAGTTTTGAGAGAGAGCATGTGCAAATAAATTCAGCCCACAAAAGCAAGGCATCCCTTCCCCACCCCATCCCGGTTCATGTTGCTGCACACCATGGTACAATACACAACATGCATGGGTCTCAGCCCCGGTCAAGCCTAGACCCACTCCAATGGCTGGGCAGAGTGGTAACTTTAAATTCTATAAGTGCAGCCTGTCGTGGGTGGAAGTGAGACCCCTGACTTAAACACTTATGTGGTTCTTAGCCCTCTCTTTTTAGCCTGTTTAATTTGGGCACCTGTGTGTTGCCCGTGAGATGAGATTGTACCTGCTTTTCCCACCCTGATGTCGCTTCTTTCGGCATTATTTAGCTGTCTGAGGTTGGCCCTGTATAAGGCAGGGCTTGCTCCTGCCAGTCTCCTTGCACCAGGAGCTCAGGGTCTGCTCTGCAGGAACTGATCTTTAGTGAGGACTCTGTTTTTGTTACATTCCCTTTAATAGACAGACGCTTGCAGCCTGGCTGGTAGGTGCTGAGCGCTCACGAGAACAGAGCAGAATTAGCCAACACTGTGTAAAAGAGACTCAATCGGCCTGCGAGGTTACTTGGATCATCAGTTGTTGCCATGTGCAATTCCTAGCACAGTGTATTGGGAGGGGGGTTATAATCCAGAAAGAGCCGTTTGGCAGCCCTGACTGTCAGCAGTGTGTCTTGGGTAGCGCTGTGGCCAGGACAAGTTCAGCAGGATGCTGACACTTGCCCTGTAAAATAGAAGAGGCTGGAAGCACAGAGAACTCCTGTCAGAGGAGGGAGGCTCAATTCAGGTCCCCACGGAGCTGCCACTGCCAAGCTATGGGAGAGCCCAGAGTGGCCATCCTGTCCTCGGAAGCAGGAGGGAGCTGGAGAAGGGTGAGAGAGCTGAGGGGAATTAGAGTAAAATAGTTCCTAACTGCATCGCTCCTCCGGTTCAAAACGGCCGTGCTTGATATGAGACACATCAGCAGGGCTGAGCTGGGATTAGCGGCTGTAACTATGGCTACTGTTCCTGCACTCAAGACCTTTTTCCCCCCACGTTTTTCCTTGACGGTAGCTTCACCACCTTTGCAGTGTGGGGCCGTGAGCAGCCTCTCTGGGCCCGTTACGTAGGCTCTTACTTCCTGCCCTTGCTACTGCTGGATTTCTGTGAATTGGTGTTTGTTCCCATATGGTATGTTCCTCTGACGAGACCTCATCTCCTTCTAGGACTGAAGCAACTCCCCTCTTCCAATATCTCTGCTCCATATTTTTGTTATAGCAGAGACTGGCTCTTGCAGGTGTTCCTTTTATTCTGTCGCTAAGGCGTCCATGGGGGGCTGACACATTGCCTCGTATCCTGAGGGATCTCCAAGTACTTCAAAAAACCATGCCCGGCTATAGAAAGAAGGGAGTGGGTTACTCCCCACTGAAATGCATTCTCTGCCGGGGGAGAATGCAGCAGCCATTCTGTGTCACCACTGCTGTATGCTCCAGTCTTTGAACGTGAGGAAGAACTTCCCTGTTGAGCTACGCTTGGCGGGGGAAAGGGATGTGGAATAGAATTATCCAGTCTGGACTCTGGCCAGGACACCAGGGCTAATGACCAAACACCTGGAGTAAGTGTCGAGGGGATCCCTTAATGACCATGGGTGGTGGGGGGATGTCCAAAAGCTAGAACCTTCAGCTTCACAGCACCCTCTAGTGCCATGCTGGGGAACAGGTTCAGTGCTGATTCAAGCTTGGGACTGTAGTAGCATGCTTGTGCTCCTCGGGGTGGTTGTAGCAAGCAGAACTATGCTTCCAGCGTGGTGAGACTCTTCCGGTACAGGCAGTTCACACTTGTGCAGGGTTCCAGGGTGCTCTGCTCATGCTGCTGCTTGTTCCTTATAATCAGAAAGGGGCAGCGTGTAGTTTTCCAACCCTCCTAGCTAGACATCTGCATGCTTGAGATTTAAATGAGCATCTGATGTAAACACACTGCATGGATGCCCAAGAGCCCTGAGCTTATTCTGTAAACTCAAACTGTAAAGCACTTAGTCTGATCTCTCATTCCTTCAATCTTGTTGATACTAATGCCCCCCTCCTTCCCAGCTGCATCGCTGTGTGTGATGTCTACAGAGAGTGGAGGGTCTTTAAAATCCTCTCCTTTTCTCTTGTCTTTCTAGGGGATGTTCTCTTCCAGATGGCAGAAGTTCACAGGCAGATTCAAAATCAGTTAGAAGAGATGGTAAGTACTGTACAGCTTGCAGACATGTTTTCTAGAGGAGTCTGGGTGGGCCAAATACATAGGGCGACCAGCAGGAAGCTTTGGGACCAGCAGCTGTGTCAGCAATTTGTTGGCCTTTAGCTGCATTTCAGTGTGGAACTGCACCACAGGACTGCACAGAGGGGATGCATGAAATAATTGCCAAGCGTTTAGCTAAGAGTAGAAACCTCACTTGGTAAACCCTGACTGAAGAAAAGAATAAATTGTGCGGGGAGGATCAAAAAAACACTAGGATGTCTAGAGAGCACTTGTAAAAATGGTATTGTCTGGGCAAAAGAGCCAGCTACTCAACAAATCTACTTCACGCAGAGCCAGTTAGCACTGGAGGACTTCGATACTGTGTCCAGGGAACACAATGGGCTTCAGTTTCTAATCCACAGAGACCGACTTTATCTAAAACTTGGTTGTTGGCCTGCTGATGTCCAGGCTCTCCATATGGGCTTCCATCTGTTTCTCTCAGACCGTCAAGCCTCTCTTCCTTTCTGTAGCCAATTATACACCTGTTTTTCCCGTATCCAATTGGCTGCCCTAATGTTAACGTACCTCTTTCTGTGTTGTATTCGCTATGTCTGTCTGTCTTCACGCTCTGTCTTGTTTCATCCACTGCTCTCCATCAGCCCCTTGTCTCTTCGTCATGAAACTATCCTCTCTATCACACGCTCATGCTCGCTCTGTGTAGTTGAATTCGAGGCCAGGTCAGTGTTTGCTAGAATACGTACTTTGGTTTTTGTCTTCAAGCTGAAGTCTTTTCACAACGAGCTACTGACGCAACTGGAGCAGAAAGTAGAACTGGATTCCAGGTATCTAAGTGTAAGTCCATCAGAACTTTATTTTAATGAGCATGTTCCCAGCTCTTCTTTTGACTTTCTCTTTGCTGCTGCCTTCTCCACCAGCGTTCCAAGCTTGTCCTAGTCAATATGGGGGTGCGAGTGTTCCACCTTGACTCTGCTTGTTTGGGATCTGAGTACCTTCATGTAATCCTGAATACAGAGGCAGGAGTTAGACTGGCCTCTTGGCATGCTGCAGATTTTTAGCAAAAAATATTCTGTTGATGCTCTAAAACCTGTGGGCTCTAACCATCTCAACCCTGTGATGGCCGCACTTAACCCTTTAATGTCTAATTCTGGCCCCCACGCGCATTGGTTCAGCGTACTGTAAGAAGCAGAATTTCCTGTTTAATCTGCATGAACTGATACTAATTATGAATGACTATTTATTTGCATTGTGGTAGTGTCCAGAATGTGCTAGGTGCTTTCCGATCATCTTGCACTCCTGGCGCTAAAGAGCATGCCGATTAACTTTCATTGCTGGTAGTGACTGCTCTTTTTTTAATTTGGTAGCCCACCATGAAACCACCAACAAGCTGATATTTCTGCTTTCTGGGTCATTGGGAATCTGGTATCCCCTCGTCTCCCAGAGGAGGATGGCTGCACAGTTGCCTTTTAAACATGCAAGTGTTCTAAAACATGCCTCCTGCATCAGGAACGAGGTTGTGGAGGCCGTGGCTACAAGGAGAATGTAAACCATGCTCATTAGGAGCAGAAAATCTCAGCTGATCTGCTGAGCCATTGTTTCAGCTATTCAGAGCTTCCCCCTGTTTTTATATTCAGGCTGCGCTGAAGAAATACCAGACTGAGCAAAGGAGCAAAGGGGATGCGCTAGAGAAATGCCAGGCAGAGCTGAAAAAACTTCGGAAGAAGAGCCAAGGGAGCAAAAACCCTCAGAAGTACTCGGACAAGGAGTTGCAGGTAGGACTTTTGACTGGCAGTCTGCTGTCAATACTCTCAGTGGTACTGACTGAAATGGGCCTTGCTGAGTGCTCCTTTGGTTGCTAAGTTCATAGGATCATAGAAATGTGGGGCTGGAAGGGACCTCGAGAAGTCATCTAGTCCTGTTGCCTGTATACAAAGTATGGTATACTAGACCATACCTGACAGGTGTTTGTCCAACTTGTTCTTAAAGTAATGGGGATTCCGCAACCTCCCTTGGAAGCCTATTCCAGAGCTTAGCTTTTTTTGTCTTTAGTCATCTTTTCTAAAGACTAAACATGCCCAGTTTTGTAACCTGGCCTCCTAGACCAGGTTATTCTAAACCTTTTATCACTTTTGTTGCTGTCCTCTGGACTATCTCCACTTTGTCCGTCTTTTGTAAAGCGTGGTACCCTGAACTGGACACAGCACTCCAGCTGAGGCCTCACCAGTGCTGGGTACAGCAGGGCTGTTACCTCTTGTGTCTTACGAACGACACTCTGGTTAACATACCCCAGAAGATTCGCCTTTTTCACAACTCCATCACATTGTTGACTCGTATTCAATTTGTGATCCACTATCACCCCCAGATCCTTTTTGCCGTACTATCACCTTAGAGACTAACCAATTTATCTGAGCATAATTAACTCTGAAGCAAATTGGGCATTAAATACTTCAGCCTCCTTGATGTCATCCATGTGTAGCTCGTCTTCCTCACTAGGTAGAGGACCAACAATCCCCTTTGGCTTTCTCTTGCTCCTAACGTATTTGTAGACCCTCTTCATATTGCTTTTTATGTGCCTTCCTAGGTGTAACTCCTCTTATACCTTAGCCTTTCTGCTTTTATCCCTATATGCTTGTGCTGTTCTTTTGTACTCCTCCTTAGCAGTTGGTCCATGTTTCCATTTATAGGATTCCTTTTTGATTTTTCAGGCCATTTAAAGAGCTCCTGCTGGAACCATACCGGCCTCTTACTATTCTTACCCTATATAGGGAGTTATTTTGCCCTTCACACATCACTCCCCAGAGGCAGCCCAAACGAGGAAGCCCCTTAGATAATGGCTCCCTGTTTTCCCATCACAAATGAGCTGAACACCCGCAAGGAGCGAAGGAGGGAGCATGGTCCAGACGATAGAACGTGGGACTGGAAATTAGGAGACCTGGCTCTTCAGTTGGCCATTAGACCCTGGGCAAATCACTTCACCTTTCTCTGCTCTCTCTAAACTGGCGAATGATATTCAGTTTTGCAAAGCGCTTTGAGATCTTCTGATGAAAAGCATTGTATAAGAGTCAGAAGTCAATTGGGCTCATTGGGCAGATGCAAGCCAGTTTCCCAGCAAACAATGGAATCATTTGGCTAGCATCCCATCCAGCTGCCTTTGACTGCTCTAATCTGATGGGATCAGGTCCAATTCACCCAGCTGCAGAATGGGTAAGTAGCCTTTCAGTGTGAGATTGAGCAAAACATGAACCCATGACCTTCAAGACTATATAGTCAAGCACCTTAACCACTCAGCCAGTACATTAATTAATTAATTCTGTGTCCTTGAATTGACTGCGATTGACTCTTCTCTTATCAGTGAAAGACCCAAGAAATAAAACTTTCAACCTGGTGAATTTCCATTGTCAGACACATCTCCCTCTGGATCTCATTCTACTGAAATATTTTCTGTAGCCTTCTGGCTTTAAATTCCTATCCATTTCTTCCCCCTCCACTCCCTCGGTACGACAGCTTGTACATGCTGGAGGCGTTTTTTCATTAGACCGCAAATAACTTCTCTAAATAGTGACTTTTGAGTCAAGCGTACTTGAAAACTGCATACCGTTTTCTAATCAGATTTTGATTGCACCCTCCTGAGACTGCTGCATTTGAGTCCCTAGGCAGAGAGACTCACTCTTCTCTCAAGAACAGCTGGGTACAGCAGTTTGTGTCTTGGGGAGAGGGGTTTGTTTTTGTGTTTTTTTTGTTTGTTTTAATATGCACATTTTAAGAGGCTAAAGCTTCAGGATTTCCAGGCAGGGATAAATGGGGGATAATATTTCATTTCAATGTATCCCACGAAGCGTTCTGAGAAGGCATTACTGACATATGCAGAGCATCAGGAATTACTCTCCTGCCTATGTCCTACACTGCACTAAAAGATCTGCAGCGCGCCTGTGGCTGGCCCAGGTCAGCGGACACCAGTTTGGGCTGGAGGAGGGATAGGCTAAACAGTGCAGTGTAGACTCTTGGGCTGGAGCCTGGGCTCTGAGACCCACCCTCCTCGTAGGGGTTCGGAGCCGAGGCTCCAGCTCAAGCCCAAACATCTACCCTGCAATTTTCAGTCCCACCGCCTGAGCCCCAGGAGCCCAAGTCAGTCAACCCGGGCTCTGAGACTTGGTGCTGTGAGGTTTTTATTGTGCCTTCTATTGACAGCAATGGACATGCAACCTGGATGGTGGCACAGGGTGTATTGGGGTGAGGGAGGGTGCTTGGGGGTTAATGACTGTATAAGAGTTAATCTCTTGTGGAAGTTACTGACCTCCAATTCAGGCCTCACCGGCAACACATCTGGGAGGAGTGCAAGTTTAAGCAAGCAGTTAATACATGGATCTGTAAACACCCTTCTGGCCTGAAATGCTCTTTCTCCTTGTCTGTCTCTGTTAGTTCTAGCCACGGCTGTGGAGTAAATACAGTGTCAATGGCCCATTCCTGTTAGGCAAAATTAACCTACAGGCCAGATGACTTGCTACCTCCTGTCTCTAATGCAAAACTTTCAGCAGCCGTGTTGCCCCTGGGATCCAAGTTAACCAAAGGTTATTTGAATGCGGTCATACTTCCTGAATGTTCCCTTTTTATCTAAGCTGACCTAAACATAGGTGACAGCTCCTCAGCCTGGGTCTATTGAAGTTCTCTGTACCGAACAGCAGATGTGAATTACTCACCAGCTAATTAGAATGAAGATTCTATAGGGGAGAGTACCTTTTCTAATTGTACTAAAACTCCACGAGTGAGTTATTCTGTTAGCAGCGTAGAGCAGAAAGATCACTGAAGGGAAAAACTGGAAGTGTTTATCAGCATTCTTATCTCAAGCTTCCAGAAAGAATTCTTCTGCTTGTTTAAAATGCTGCATACTGAATTCTTACTGATCTGTCACTCTTAACTCTGTCCTGAGGCATCGTTTTTACAGTGGGAGTGCTGAGAGCCATTTAACAAAACTGTGAACCCTTTATATGGTGGAAACCACTTCAAGCCCAGGGGTGCTGCCGCACCCCCAGCACCCTGGGTTCTAGCACACATGCTGAGGTTGTTTAAGAAGCTGGTTTTAAAAGCCAATCTAAAGTGTACTGGTACAGTAAAACGTGCAGAGAAGTCCTGTTTGTTCGCTTGTCCCGCTTGAAGACTTGATGAGCACATGAACTCTAAATTAAGATTTTTAACTCTCTTCTGAGTATCTGCTTCCTTGCAACCTATTCTCTTAATTGCCAGCTGAAAGAGAAGGAATGGTAGACCAGTGGGCAAGGATATCTTTAGATGCAGGAAAACACAAGGTACCAAGATTGGCAATTGGCTATCTCTTGCTCACGAATGTTGCCCATATGGACACAGAGAACCAAAATCCTGCCATGGCTCCTTTATCTCCTATGAGTCCTCTAAGCACCTAGGGACGGCATTGTCCTTATTTTTGCAGGGATTCCCCCACCTATGAAGTATACCCCTCCAAGTTAGCTAAATGAATTCTCCTCCTCCATCTGTACCTTTCTGCCATGCTGCAGAGAGAGGGCAACTATTCAGAGGTGCTCAGTTAACTGAGCCTTTGATGTTCTTGACACAAAGTAGCAGAGATGTGGGTTAGTTCCATTAGCGTGGCTTGTTTTGGGTAAAGGGAAAGAAACTGGATCATTCTTTCAAGCACTTAATCTTTCTACAGTAGGAATTTAGGAAGAGCTTGTCTCTTTGGAAAAACCTTGCAATGGTTTTTAAGCTTAAAAAGAGCTGCAAAGACTGCTGGATTGCTGGGTTTTTCAGGATTAAAATAAAAAGCTGGTGTTGCTGAATTTGACTGAGTGGTGCTGATTCATCTCTGTGCTGTGCTGCTCACTGTTTCCCCATTTTCTTTATGGTGGATTTGAAAGCATGATTTTCATAGAATATCTGGGTTGGAAGGGACCTCAGGAGGTCATCTAGTCCAACCCCCTGCTCAAAGCAGGACCAATTTTTGCCCCAGATCCCTAAATGGCCCCCCCAAGGATTGAACTCACAACCCGGGGTTTAGCAGGCCAATGCTCAAACCACTGAGTGATTCCTCTGTCACTCCCCTCCCCCCCCCCCCCACCAAACCTACTAAGCCCCTTTGCTGGCCCAGGATACCCGAACTGCCATAGGCTCAGGTGGACTCTTGCCATAAATGCTCACTGGGAAACTTGGATAAATGTTTAAATCCCAGTGAGCTCTGCGAGGAGAACAACGTACAGCGCCCTGTGGAGAATTGCGTGTGGAGGAATGGAAATCTATTGTTCCTAGGATAGCAGAGGTCTGGTGTGAGGATGTGGCTTGGCGATAGGAAGTGGCATCGCTTTTGATTTAGTGTATGGAGTTGAATCATTGGCACTGTGCGTAACACAGCACTACAGCGGTTTCATGCGGGCTGCATGCCAGGTGTAGTCCTCCTGGGTCTGGGCCTTATCCCCACCTATAACACTTCCACTCTGGTTTCTTGTGTTGGCTTAGCACAAGGGCTTGCCATGCTCAGGACTGGAGCTCCTCCACCATAGTCTATTTTTTCTTTTGCCTCTTCGGCTGATCTCGACTGACGTCCTGTATCTAAAGAGCAGCTGGTTTGAGGAGGAAACCTCTTGCCTGGGGTACGGAAGATGGAAAAACTTGCCAGCATTGGAAGCGAAGAATCCCAGCTTTATTGGCCGCTCTGAATTCAGTGCTGAACAGCTGCTGATGTCACACAGACATCTAGTCTTGTTCCACAAATATCTGATCTCTTTGACAACTCTGCTTATTTAAA